TGAGGGAAAAGGAAGTCTACAGGTGTAGTCCCATCTCTCCTTTAGCTGAACAGCTCTACCTGCCTCTGTTTTATATAATACAGTTTAATGCAAAAAAAAATTTTTTCCAAAGGTATAAAAGTCACTAACTTCGTCAAAGTCCCTAATCTTAAATACGAGACAAAAAGGCCCCAGAGAGATTGTAGTTTGCCTGAGGTCAAAAAACCACCTAGTTGCCAGCCGGGAATGTGGTGTAGGTCTTACTGAGCCTAGAGTTTCATGCCAGTTACTTCCTCATATTCAGGAACAACGCATGCATTTTCAACTATAACTCAGAGAATATGAATACATAAAACTTTGTCATGTGGCTCTATAATAATGTTCAGGCATTAGGCACAAAATAGCTTTCTAACTAAATTATAAATTTTAAAGTCATGAACAAAAATAGAGGAACAGAAGTTATCTTAACTCCTATTAGTAACAGTCAACATACGCAGGATTTACAAGCACAAAATTTTTTAACCAAAGGACAAGGAGCTTGAAGGAGAACATCTTTAGTTGAACCAAAGAACCTGAAACTGAGGAAATTCTTCCTTGAAAGAATTATCCATTTCCTTCAAATAAAACTTGGTTTGTCAAAATCAATCAACAAATGAGTTACCTATGTTGTGGGTTATTTATAACAAAATTTAAAACACAAAACAGATTTCTCTTTACCATCTAGCATGCTCTGACCAACCTCTCATCATTAGTTGGTATGTACAAAAGACATGATTAACTTTAATTATAATTTAAATCAAGTCAGAAATTATAGGTAAACCTTCATTTCCATGCGAGGACTTTTCTCTACCTGCCTCACGACAGGAAGGGAGATTTACCTAAAGGGTGAATTTGGGAGAAGGCACTAAGCAATGCCTACGTGGTTCCAAATCTCTTCTTTGAAAAGATGTGCCTGCCACAGTAACATGAATTCAAGTCTGCTCTCATCTTTGTGGGATGGGCATCAAACATTTGTTCCTTCCATTACAACTGTGTGTGGAAGCGTCTAATTTGGGATAAAGTACTGGGAAGCTCGCTGTAGCTACATACCTAAACCATATCCTCCTATTTGTTTGTATGTATTAGTAATAAAGTTACTAAGCTTATCTCCATCTGCCTGACTCCTGTGTTCTCAACTCAGAAAGAGAAGAGCAATGTCATCTGCCACCTATTCCACCACAGTTCCAACAAGAAAAATGACCAGACAACACTTAAAATGTTTTCTCCTTCCTTGACTTTATAACTAACATTCATTGTTCAAAGCAACATACTTGGAAGAGGGAAAAAGCGGAAAAGAACAATTTCAGAAACAAACATACAAAGTCAGACAAAATACAGAGGAGTATGTTCCAAATGAAAGAATACAACACTTCAGAAAAATGACTAAATAAAACAGAGATAAGTAATCTACCTGATAAAGAGTTCAAAGTAATGGACATAAAGATGCTCAGCAAACTTGGGAGAAGAATGGATGGATTCAGTGAGAACTTCAACAATGAGAAAATATAAAGAAGAACCCATCAGAGCTAAAGAATACAATAACTGAAATGAAAAATACACCAGAGGGAATCGACAGCAGATTTTAAAAGCTGCAGAACAGATCCGTGATCTGCAAGACAGGGTACTAGAAATCCCCCAAGCCAAAAGGAAAAAAAAGAATTTTAAAAATGAGGACAGGCTAAGGGACCTCCTAGGATCGAGCCCCACATCAGGCGCCCTGATCAGGGAGCCTGCTTCTTCTCCCTTTCCCTCGGGCCTTACCCTCCCACTTGTGTTCTCTCTCGCTTGCTCTGCTCTCTCTCTCATAAATAAAATAAAATTAAAAAAAAAAAAGGAGGGGTGCCTGGGTGGCTCAATCGTTAAGCATCCACCTTTGGCTCAGGTCATGATCCCAGGGTCCTGGGATCGAGCCCCACATTGGGCTCCCTGCTCAGGAGGAAGCCTGCTTCTCTCTCTCCCACTTACCCTGCTTGTGCTCTCTCTCTGGCTGTCTCTGTCAAATAAATAAATAAAATCTTAAAAAAAAAAAAAAAAGGAAAGGCCATAACTAGAAGTAAAAAAATTATGAAAGAAAGTTTTATTGGTAAAAGCAAACATACAGTAAAGGTAATAGATCAATCACATTTATAAAGCCAGTACGAAGGTTAAGACAAAAGTAGTAATATCAATTATATTTCCAGTAATTGGTTAAGGGATACAAAAAATAAAAAGATGTAAACTAAGCCATCAAATAAATAAAACAACATGGGGTGTAAAAATGTAGTGTTTTTAAAATGTGTTTGAACTTAAGTAACCATCAACTTAAAATAAACTGCTATATACATAGGATGTTACATATGAACTTCATGGTGATCACAAACCAAAAATCGAAAGGCATCCAAGCATAACACTAAAGAAAGTCCTCAAATTAGAAGGGAAGAGAGCAAGACAATAACGATGCCGAATGAGAGAACAAGACTGAGGCCTCATTTACCCTGAGCCTATGCTCCTTTTGTCTAC